ATTAGAAACAATTATTACAAACACCCTAATGAAAGCTATAATTAACCTATAATGCATTTACCTCTTAATACTTGTTTCACAAGCACAAACAACCTCTGCATTTCCTCCTCTACATTACTCTTAAAAATGTAGCTACTATATATTAATTATAAGTGAAGAGTTTTATTATGATATTTACATACATATAGTGTGCATTGTTCAAAGTCATATCTTTCATATGCACTGAAGATTATTCCTTAGAATCTGCTTAGTAGAGGCCAGAATATTTAAAACAATTGTCTGAGCTATAGTTCTTAGATAATATCATTTCATCAACTGAATTAATGGTTAAAAAATCTAACTGGTTTTTCTTCTCACCCAATGTAATAGACATTTAAATTCCCTTTATTGAAAGCAAAGATTTAACATTAATTTTTTAACTGGTGAATCTTTCATTCACTATCCAGTTTATCAGGAACAATTGCATGAGGTGAGTGCTTAGCCCTCTTTAAAGTTTTATAGAAAATAATTGAGAATTATGGTAAATTTTTACCATTAATCAAATTGTTTTTCAGGGAGTTGACTTAATAAACTACTGAATAAGGGAAAGTATATTCTCTCAAATGTATTAACAGGCCTATACTCTGGGTGAACAAGAAGAAATACCAGGATAACAACATTATCATAAAACTTTCTTTGTAGAGTTAGAAAGAACAGCACCCTCCAGTAGAAGTAGGAAAAAGTAGAAAACAAAAGTTGCAGATTTGAAAATCAGTAGATACTAAGGTGTGACAATGGAAAACACTGTTCCAGGTGAGGGTTAGAGCTGAAGAACCAAAAGATGCAATTAAGGGATCTAAATTAGCATGGTAGAGGCCTAAATAGAGTGCCACCATAGAAAAATGTATGGCATAAGTTCAGCTAGGTGCCAGAAGCATGGTAATGATGGAAGAAATTGACCTGATTCTTTGGTTTAAGATATTGTTGCAATTACATGTTGAAAAGCATTTCAATGCAGCTATCTCAATTCAAGCAGGAAATAATGACTTTATAATTTCTCACTTTGTATGTGTGCATAAAACAAATGATGTTAACAATTACCTGTCAATACACACTGATCTTGCCTGGAGTCAGATAATTTTGCCCCATTCTCATCTTTTCATAGGATGTGAAACTTCAATTAATGAGTCTATGTTTCTGATTATAATAAAAATGCTATTTATATGCAAGTGATATCCAGACCTTAGAATAAACCAAATTACAAATTAATTCTTACAAACTTCTCAGTTTCAAGTATCTATGGTAAAGATGAATGTACATTTTAGGATGTATCATTAAATTGCTTTCTAAAACATCTAATATATTTTATAGTTAAATAATCAAGAGACAATTATGTGAATACTTAAAGAAAGATGATAACTAGGTAATCGTGATGGTAAATAATGTTGATGAAAATTACATTTTATATGATAATTTAAATGAAATAATATTAAATATGAATGGTGACTACTACAAAAAAGAAGCCCTAATTTTGGTCATTATCTATTATATAAAACAACCTAGGTCATTTAGCCTTTGACTACTGGGAGCCAAGGAAGAGAAATATGGTTCACTTAGCTACTTCCAGCTTTTATCATAGAACTACGTAATATTAGAAGATCCTTGGGGATGGCTAAGCTCATACATTCTGGCATCTGGTGCCTACTCAAGCATAAACCATCTCTCTGAAGATTTAAAATTACTTTTAAAGGGTATTAACACAATCCATCATGTGCATGTTGGAATTTTTACTGTAATAATGTAATAATGTGCTGAATCAGCTCTGCTGACTCTAAGTTCTCTCAAGGAGCTTTATTCTGTTGCACAAGTTATACTTTGTTGACCAAAATGACCTGGAATAGGGTTAAATGTCTTTTGATAGCAGATTCTGGTTTATGAACTACAATAGGAAATGCTAGGGGGCAAGTCATTTGTTTATTTATGAGCTTTTGCCATTATCTTAGAAATATACCAGCTAAGAAACACGTTGTATTATTCTGACACAATAAAATGATTGTTAGCACTTACATGAGAAGATGTTTAAATTTTAACATGAGTGGAAACCTCATTTCAATATTTTAAAGTATCTTTTTTTCTTTTTCTTTTTTATTTTATTATTATTATTATTATTATTATTATTATTTTGGTTTTTCAAGACAGAGTTTCTCTGTGGCTTTCGAGGCTGTCCTGGAGCTAGCTCTTGTATACCAGGCTGGTCTTGAACTCACAGAGATCCACCTGTCTTTGCCTCCTGAGTGCCCGGCATCTTTTTTTCTTATAAAACAATTTTCCTTCTAAAATATAAGCTAGTCACAATTAATTATGACTCATCTTGTTTAATCTAAATCTAATTTTAACTTTAAGATTATTTAGAACTGCATTGTTTAGATACAGAGAAAAAGGTTTTCGTATAAAATGTATAAGCAAAATAACTAAAGTGTGAATTAATATACACATTAAAAAAGTAGTTAATAAAGAAATTATAAATACGGTTACAGCAAGGCATATCCCCTAACAAGAAACGCTCCTTTAAATTCTGAGATAATGGATGTAACTACTCATAAGATAATGTCACTGATAGTCAGATTTTTCTTCCTGTCACAAGACACCTAGAATAAATAACTCAATAAAGGAAAGATTTATTTTGGCTCCTGGTTTGACATTTTCTCACTCTCGCATAACTTGATTTCATGTTTGAAATCCTATGGTACAGCAGTAACATGACAGACCAGCAACCTGGGGGAAAGCTGCTGACCTCACAATATCTGGGAATCACAGAGAGATGGGGATGAGGAAGGGACTTGTACATGATGCTTCTCTCTGGAGTAGCCCCCAGGGACCTCCCTTCTTCCATCCAGACTTTACCTCTTAGTCTCTCTTCTCAGCCTCCAATGATTTCATCAAACATAAGTCATTCATGCATTAGGTCAAAATTCTAATGATCAGTTCACTTCCCTAAATGTGTAACTCTCAACATTGCACTAGAAACTAAGTGTTTGGCACAGAAGTCATTGTGGGCCATTTCAGACTCAGTCTATAACATTTACTAGTATATATTGATATGTGTTTCACCAAAGTAAATTATAACCTCAAATAAATTCTCACAGATTGATAGCCTTCACAATTTGTTAATTATAATGATAATGATCTTATCTAAAAATTAGGATTATTCTTAACCTTTAACCAATCCATTTATCAATATGTGGAAGAGATCAATTTTCTTTTAGTTTAATCAATTTTTCCATATGAAATAAATGAAAGAGAAGTACTAACGTGCCCTTCTGGAGGAAAAAAAATCAATACAGGATTGATTTATATTGCCGAAGAGGAGTAAAGAATGTGGGAATGGAGAGAAAGAGAGATAAGAGACACAGAGGTGGAGAGTGGGAGAGAGGCAGGGGCAGAATGCAGAGAAGCATACATGTTGAAAAGGATTCACTAACTTTAACTCCATGTACAATTTTTATTAATATAATAAGAGAATTAAATTTAGGAAACAAAAAATGGTGAATGATGGAGTAGTGGGTGAAAAAAAGCAGAAGCTAGTTAAAAATGGGAAAGTTAGAGAAGTCACAAAAGAATATGTCATGTAGAATATAATAATTGGATAATGGGTGGTGTTATTAGAAGCAAAAGAAGAGAAACCACAGTGTAGAAATTAAAGTACTATGCTATAAAATGTGTGTAGAAATATGTAAGTAGCCAATACATTTAAACAGAAAAATATGAAAAATCTTGGAGTAGTATGTGAAAACAATAAGAAAGGTAGAACAATTAAAATACACATAATTTTGTGGATGTAAACATACATTATTTTCATCCATATACCTAGAGGAATAAACCCTAAAATAAAAAAGTTTCATCTATTAGCAATTAAAATGTATTCTTATAGCAAGTTCTTTGTTCAACATAATAATGTAATATATCGTTTCAATGCAGTTCGTTTTTTTAAAATATGGATAGCTTTATCAAATGATATAAAATTTACATTCTGAGTTTAAAGCTTGCCTCTGTATTTTCTTGTTACACTACATAGGGAAAATCGCTTAACTCCTGTAACTATTCTCATCTGCAGCATAGGATAACTGCAGTAAGCACCTTATAGGACCCTGAAAAGATTCATTTCTTGTATGCACAAGTCCTTAACATACATTATACTGTATCAATACTGTTATCATCATTACTTACATTTTTGTGTACAACACACAAAACTGAAAAGATGTGTTAAATGATGAAATAAAAAAGCTATCTATTTTATCTTCAATACTTCTTTCAAAAGGAAAATAAGACTTAGATGAATATATATGTGATTTCATTTTAAAGAAAAAAGATACTAAATGGTTATACAAGTCAAAATGAAGATCAAATTAGCGTGTGGGCCATTTATCACATGAGTCAATGCTGCTGACTCTCCACTGTTGTGATGAATAGCAAATGACAACAAGCTGAGCTTGAAACAGAATTGATGCATTACTGTACAGTTCTGGAAAATGAAACCAAAATAAATATTAAAAGATTGGGGTGCTGAAATCAAGAAAGCATCCTTCTGGGAATTCTGGGAAAAAATCTATCCTCTTGCCTCTTCTAGCTCTTATTCTTTGACTGGTAGATATATCTTCTCTCTTCAGTAGGAAATAACATCTTTTACAAGCCTGTCTTCTCTCCTGAATAAAATGCCTTTTGTTGTTGGTCCACATAAGTGTGACTCCACTTAGATCCCACTAAGACCATCTAGGACAGCCTGTCCACCTCAGAAACCTGAACCTTCACTGCAAAGTCATTTAGTAATATTTAGTTTCTAGGAAATAGAATGTTGTTATCTCTGGATCACACCATGACAACAAGATAAGAAAGAAAAGGAGAGAAGACGACTCTAGAATGCTCTGCAATACTTAATTTTAATGTTTATAAATGTTTGGTCAAGGATAAACAAACTTGAAGCAGACACAAATATACAACATACAATTCTATTGTTATTTTAGGTGTTTTAAATGTATATCTACGTTTGAAAGGGCAGACAACGATAGAGAATCCTCTATGGTCTTCAAGTGGGAATAAAGGACAACGATGGAATGAGGCTCATGTTAATATATATCCAATTACTTCATTTCAGGTAAGAAATAAATTTGTTCACATTTCTGTGTATGGAATGCAACACTAGATACATATCCTAAAGAAGCAGTAAGTAGGATGTTAATAATCAGAAATTCTGTATAAAGCAAATAAAAATCATGTATTTTAGTTTCTCTTCAGTTTGAAAAGCTATTTTATGAAGCCAAAATGTGTATTTATTAGCATCTATGAAATAGAATATAGAAAGTAACCTATAAAAACACTAGATATTGCATAGGGCAATTAGTAGTACATTACTTTAATCCCAGCACTTGAGAAGCAGAAGTAGGTAGATCTCTGAGTTGAGTCTAGCCTGGTCTGCAAAGCATGTTCTAAGACAACCAGGACTACAAAGAGAAATTCTGTCTCTGGAAATAACAAAACAAAACACCTCAAGGTATTTGCATAATCATCCATTTCCATAGAATCACTTGCATGTATTTTATTCTCTATAGAAAATAATAGAGATTTTCACACTAATAAAACTGGGTATCAGTACTCTATTAATTTGTGGAATAATTATTGATGGAATTTTAAAAACATTTTCCACCTCAGTCACTTATTACTTCAATCAAAATCAGAATTTTTAAACAAATTATTTTTCTTTCTGTTTGAAGTAAGACTTCAGTTAAATACCAAAAAGTCACCTATAAATATATCAAGAAAATAATGACTTAATGTTTGTAATTTAAATAAGAAACGTTAGCCAGGCAGTGGTGACACATGCCTTTAATCCCAGCACTCAGGAGACAGAAGCAGGAGGATCTCTGTGAGTTCGAAGCCAACCTGGTCTACAAAGTTACATAGACAAACTCCATCTTGAAAAATCAAAAAAAAGGAAGAAAGGAAGGAAGGGAAGAAAGAAAAGAAGGAAGGGAGGAAGAAAGAAGCTTTAAGAATCATTGTAAAAGATGGTATTTCTACAAGCTGCTTTGATAAAGTTGGCAGCATAGCTTTTGTGATTTAAGTAACTATACCAACATATGTATATAAATGCATACGTGTACCTACCTATATTTTCATACATTTCTAGCCAACATATACCAGAGTATTTTATTTCTTTAAATTAACAACACATCTTTAACATCTAATCGCACTTAAACCAGTTTTATTCTTATTTTGAAAAGACTCAAATCCACTCAATGATATAATGCATGAAAGTCATGGCACACATATAAAAATACAGAGAATCAGATTGATCCAATTATGCAATCTTTTCATTGACAGAACCTCTTTTGTCATAATTTGGACAATTATGACTGAGAGGTCTAACAAGTTGATAAAATGAAAAAATTTCTTCACAAGAGTAGAGCGTAAGGAATTAATTAAAACTACTTGGAGTCATATATCTATGAATGCACAGAAACATTTTGCATCTGTGAAGGATAATAAAATTGTAAAAACTGAAACAACTTAACCTGGGAAGATGGGATTTGAAGCACAACTAAGATTAAAGTGTGTGTGTGTGTGTGTGTGTGTGTGTGTGTGTACACTGAAGATTATTTTTATAAAGTATTGATGCTCCTCTCTACATGTTTTGCTTCCTACATGGACCTCTTCATCTAAATTGATTAAATGAAACACATACACAAGAAGGATTTAAATTATGGTAATGTTACAGTCAAGACAATCCTTTATTGACATTATGTCAGCTTAATAAACATCTGTTAAACACCTCCAGGACAATCCTTTATTTCTTTAGACATCAGTTGGGAAAACAACTGAGTTCCTGCTTATAGTCTATTGGTAGGCGTAAGAATTGAGTAGAATTCTTGTTGTAAGATATTCTGGGAGCTAACTGGTACACATGGAGAGAGATCTTGGGATGTACTTATAGATAAACAGGAACAGAACACTTTTCATGAATGGAATCTTGGAAGCAGACATTACTTACTATGGATATTTGGCTTACAAAGTGTTGAATAATGCCTTAACTACGGATTGGTTTAGATTGCAGAAAGGGAGGGGGGAAAGATCAGATTCAGGGACATAAATGATTACTTCTGTCTTATACATGTTCATAAAACTTCATGAGAACCAAGACCTTTTAAAGATATGGGATAAATTGTTGTAATTACCAGTCTTGAAGTTTTGAAGACAAAGGTGTGCCTGTGTCATCAGATTGTACCTTTTACTGAAAACTGCCTGAATACTTGATATTAACAAGGAAAGTTTTACATACTGAAATGAGGGAATCAACAATGCAACCATATCAAAGAGGAACTGTAACAGACACACCCCTCCTAAGTAGTATCTTACAGAAAACCACGAATTCATAGGATCAAGAGAGAGAGAGACAAAGAGAGAGAGACAGAGAGAGAGAGACAGAGAGAGAGAGAAACTTAGTTTAGAAAAGAAGTAAATTACTGGTAGAATGTCCTGTCTTATAACATAATTTGTAAAATTCTTCTTTTATGATAAATAGAACTTCTAAATTTTCAAATGAATATTTTTTGGTAATTTATAGAAGGTAGTTGGCATGCTTAGGTTTTAGATAAGTCACAGAGATACAAGTTATATTTTATATGAGATACAGCATCCACTAAAATTTTTTTTCAATATTCAGTTTCCTTTAATGACCCCTGTAGTCATGGAAGGGTGGGTACAGGCAGTTAGGTGACAACAAAACATGTTTACTTGAAGATTGTGTCTTGACTAACTGCTTTATCCACATGCTAGAACATCCCCTTACACGAAAAGTACTCTCCAACCAGGGTCTGGATCTCCTCACTACTGGGATCCAGGACCCACTACGTGTATAATTCATAGTCTACCTGCAAATTTTGACTCAGCAGAAAAATAGGCTCTTGGCCACAGAGGACCCAAATGCCAGAAATGGAGTTGCTGTCATTAGTTACAAAGAGGATGACATTAGCAAAGGCATTCTTCCTCAGTTTGTTCAATCACTGGAGCATTCCGGTGATGTGGTTGCAACTCATTAAGTCCTGGATAAGCTCTTCAGGGAAGTGGTACTGGGCATACCCATAGGGGCCAGCCATCCTTATCAAAATGCTGTCCCAAATATGCCAGCTCCACAGAGAGTACTCATTGGAGTACTTAATGCTTAAACTCATCTAACAGGAAGGTGTTCTTGGGCACATGAGCTTAGCGACCCTTGGCCTTGGACTCAGCTGGCAGTGCCTACTCAAATCCACCCATCTCCTCAGGAGCTGAGTCAACTGCCTTTTTTCTTCTTTCCACTCAGCCTGGGGCTTCTGCTTCTCTTGCCATGAACCTTTTCTTTCCTGGGGTATCCTTTTTTAGGCTGATTCTCTGCAAACTTAGCATCAGACTGGGTCATCTTCCCACGCAGCTTCCCTCCCACCAAGAGAGTCCTGAAATGGGTCTAGTTAATGCAGGTAAGAAATGAGCCTCTGGTAGTGGTTAAGGCCAGGGGAAAAGAAGGCTCTGAGCCCTAGTTACAGAGACACAGCAGGGTGCAGACAACTGTGAGATCAACCAGTGACACTAGCTTACCACCATGGAATCTTCTCCTTTAGAGAACTCAGCAGCCTTATCTCTCCTTGTGCATTTTTCAGTGGCCTATTTCTGGGGTGCAGTAGCTTGACCAAAGTGGAGTGGGGTGGTACAGAAAGCATGCAGACCTGATCCCCAATGTATTGAGCAGCAAAGGCCCTCCAGTTTTCAGGATATTTGTACAGGGTCCCAGCCACCATGGTAATTCTACAGAAAGGGACCTTAGAAATTTAAATGAGAGCACACGGAAATTAGAAGAAAAAAAAAGGAATTAACTGTCTTGACTAAACCCCCTTCAATATTCAGAGTTAATTGAATTGCCAATAGTAAAATATTAACTTATAATATGATTTATTCAAATAGACCTTTTCATCTATCAGTTTTTCACATTAAGGGAAGTACAGAGTTTGCTTATTAGATAATGTTTTCGAGAAAACCTAGTTCATTATCCAAGAGGCAGCATGGAGACTATAGATAGTAGTTGCCCCGGAACATGAGTGCTAAGAAGACTCTCACTCCAGCAGGCAGAGCACCAGGCCCGAGGCTGAAGTCGCAGGCTTCTAGAGTTAAGTCCCTTTTCCTTCTGATTTGGCCAATCTCAGTCCACCAGACTTGGTTTCTCACAACTGTTGTTCAAAAGAAGGAAATCTGGGATCTTTTGTTACCAGAAATCAAAGGAGTGTTTTAAATTCACAAAAGCTGTCCAGGTCCAATACCTATGAAACTGTGTTTGAAATCTGCGTAAAATCACAGAAACATGATTATATTATATATTTTAAAGGAATTTACAGACAGATATTCAAGAATGGTAAAATAAAGCAAACTGTCTTCATAGCGGTCTATGGAAGCCTAGGAGAAATTCTCTCTGCTATACTAAGCTCTGCTTCTGCTATAGAAGGCAGTTTGGGTTTGTTTAGTTGATTCTCAATGTACTTTCCATTCTTTGTTTTTCTTGGATGTTTTCATAGATTTATAGCACTAGAAAGTCCCTACTTTCATCTGCTATCAGTTTTGATTGGCCTGAAGGACTTCATCTGACATTTCTTGAAGTGTGGGCCTGTTGAGGATGGATTCTTTTCACCTTGTGTACTTTTAAAAATTGTCTTGTTCACCTTCATTTTTCAAAAAAAAATCATTTCCTCTAGGCATAGCTTAGTGGTTTTTCTTTTAGAACTCTCAGGATGTTCTCTGTCTCTGTATTCCTTCCAAGTATGAATCTTGGCTGTACACACATTTATTCTTCTCTCTATTGTGCAAGCTTCCTTCTCCAAGATCATTTAAGATTTTTCTCCTTATTGCTGGTTGTGAGAACTTAGATTCTGATATGCTTTGGTATGTCCTTTTTCTGTGTATTCCTAATTTACTGAACTTCTTGGCCCCATGGGCTCATCATTATATGAAAATTGAGGACTACCTGGCTGGTTTCTTCACACTTCATTGTTCCCCATTCTATCCTTTCAGACTCACCCTCGAAATTTTGTGTTTCTTTGTTCTCTCTCTCTCTCTCTCTCTCTCTCTCTCTCT